ATGAATAATATACATATTTTTACACTATTTTTGTTTATATTACATTCAAGCTATATATTTGTACACTACTCGTCAACAAATTGGTTGCACAAGACTTTTGCTTGACTTTTTATATTCTGTGCAAGTCACATTTTAACTTTTACAAAGGTTTAGCTGCCGTGTGGATAGCAATATTAAGCTCAAAGACTTATATTTAGCCGTAAACTAATTCACAAATTTTCCGACACGGCTAGTATCAATTCCGGCTTTCTCTATGCAACTTTGCAAGTTAAGGTCCGACAAAATTTTCATTGTAGCGGGTGCACGCCAGTTGGATAGAGACCAGTAGTACTCGATTGTGGCAAGCATAACCTTATTGACCTTATTGTGACAATTCTACTTGTTTACCTACCCATTGAGCTAGAAGTGGCCTCATCGCTGAACAAAATCTGGGTTGAAAACGTCGGATCAGCTTCAGTTCTTACACAATCTGTATTTTGTACGTTTTCAATTTAAGATGTGGATGAAAAAGCGTCAAGTCGTTTCCCACGTAAGTCCAAGTAGATTTTTTTACCAATTCTCTGTAAGGAGTTATAATGAAGAATTTAATTTAAGTGGTTAAACGGTTTTCCTCGAACATAAAACGGTATATTTTCCATAATTTTTCTTTTTTCATATAAAAAATGCTATATTTTATTCAAACTTTTTATTCTTTCAAAGATCGATATATTCACACTATTTTGGAAAATTTCAAAACAATGTATACAAAACTCGGCCATTAAGAAGTCATTTCTGACAGGTACCCCGAAAACCAGTGCCTCTACCTTGACATCACAACTTCTTACAGGATCAGTAAAAATAAAATTTTAAAAGTACCTACCTTAAATATGTCCATAAACTAAGTATTGGATCAACTAAAACCAAATAAGGTGAAAATTTTATTTTTATACCCTGAACAGTTTGTCACGAAGTTTGTAACACCCAGAAGGAAGGGTCAGAGACCCTATAAAGTATATATATAAATAAGCAGTATGTCGAGCTGTGTCGATTTAGCCATGACCGTCTGTCTGTATATATACGAACTAGTCCCTCAGATTTTAATATAACATTTTGAAATTTTGCAACCATCATTTTCTCTTCAAGAAGCTGCTCATTTGTCGGAACTGCCGATATCGGACCACTATAACATTAAGCTGCCATACAAACTGAACCATCGGAATCAAGTTCTTATATGGAAAACTTTCACATTTTGCAATATATATTCACGAAAGTTGGCGCATGTTATTTTCTAAAGCAACAATGTAATCTCCTAAGAAATTGTTTAGATCAGTTAACTATAGCGTATAGCTGTCATACAAATGAATGATCGGAATAAAATGTTTGCATGGGAAACTTCCTCATTTAACGATATATCTTGACGAAATTTATTATTTATAGAAATAATGTAATACCGAAATAAATTGTTCAGATCGGCTCACTATATCATATAGCTGTCATACAAACCGAACGATCGGAATTAAGTTCTTGTATGGCAAAACTTTCGCATTGACGTGGTATCTTCACGAAATTTGACATGTCTTTAAAAAGCAGTTTCGAGAAAAACGAGTTCAAAGTTTTTAGTGACTAAACCATAGCTGACCGCAAGCCCGCTAGTTTTCTAGGCTGTATCTCAAAAACTAGTACTTGAATCGATTTGAGGCCAATAATCTTGAGACATTTTAGCATGAAATAAGAACATAATTTTTTTTTTTTTTTTTTTTTTTTTTTTTTTGTTGAAGCTATTAAACCCATGTAACTGCTTAAGGAGAAGTAAACGTGATTCCTCGAACTGTTACTCATGGTATCGAGTGTATAATAACTTCAACCACAAGGACACCTTTAACGTAGCAGTATTAATTAATCACATTATATAAATTGTAAATTGCATGTGCACCACTGTTTTTAAGTGTAAATACATAGTCAGACAAAAATTTATAGCACTCATGCCATCATATAGGAATACTTATCAACCGGCATAATAGCAATTATAGGTTACATAGTTTTATTTACTATTATAAAAGTAGTGAACACCTGTGAGATTCTAAAAAGCGAAAGTTAAATTTGTTAAAGTTAGAAATTAGCTTTCAAACAATGCCAATGACATACCTTTAAGCAACATCAGTTGTGGCTCGAGAAGAGGTTGCTGTAACGACAGAACACTTATGAAAATGCATATTTTTGTAAGGAGTAGTAAAGAGTTTGTAAGGAGTAGGAATCTCTATAAAGTTCAGCGACTACTTTCAAGACTGCATTAATGATTCCTCTCATACAAAAACCCGACAAGAAATAAGATTTGAGTCATCTAATGGTGAATGCTTCTGAGGTAATAGTCAATAGTCTGATAAAATGCTAGTCCATCAGAGTAACGCTGAAGTGACTCGAAGTGAAGTGGTATCGAATTGAGCAATTTTTCCGGCAAATATGATGAAAAACATGTTTTTTTTTTTTTTTTGATTATTTTAAAACTAGTGTTAGTCTCTTCCCTCGTTTAACTATGAAGATTGGAAATAAATAGTACTTGACCAACCCACATTTGCCCATATAATAGTGTTGTCGATTTTAAACTGATAAGCTCAATATCTGTACAAGCACAAATTTTGGGAGCGATGCCATCTCATCTTATATATACATAATGGCAATGCCGATAGTGCCCGTGATGCTAACATGCGTACTTATCGGCCGGCCACTATGGCAATGTAGATATAATTAAAAGATCAAACAAATCCACAATTGCCAAATGGCACGGATAAATATTAACATTCCATAAACATAAATATTTACAGGCGAAACTCCAAGTTTAGGGTCAACCCACGCGCACACAAGAAATACAAACAAACATTACAAATCTTTTGCATAGCAATTCGACCACAGGTGGATGTGACAAACATTGTATCGAAGTTTGTAAAATTAAAGCTTAGAGCGCTAACATTTATTGTCTTTATGCTGCGATCGCTGCTCGCTGAATATCGGCAATTATTTACATACGTATATTGAAAAAGAGAAAACAAGAGCAGCTCAATTTAAGTACAAATTTACACATAGGTATAGCCTCTTAGTGTTTCTTTAGACAGGAGCGCATTCAAACAAAGCATCAACGAGGCAGCGAGAGAATGGGGCGAGACGAAGAATAATTCAGTTCCACCTGAGACAATTTGAATATTTAGAAATTACAATTAATTTAATTGGAGTACGAGTTGAGTATGTTCCCTTATTACATGACTCAAACTATATATTTTACCAGTTAAATGAAATGATAGCGTCCCAAAATCAGCTCGTACTTCATTACGTGTATCAAATACGACCATTTTCTGATGCTGAAACAATACTCGCAACGAAACTTAATTTAACTTTGCCTAGCTCTTGAAACAGAGAGTAAAGGTTCAATTATAGTTGGAGCAATTATCAACTCTTTTGTACATACTATATATCTGTTTGTATTTATAATTTTTCAAAAAACCCAAGTATGACTTCTCGCTTTCATTGTGCGAGCTCGTAATGACTCCCTTAGTCATTATTTTTCGTTTATTTACTTACATACGAGTGCGTATATGCATGTTCGCTTACAGAAATAGTAAATACCCTGCGGGAAAGCAATAGACGAGTTGACTTATATTATATATCATATCAAATATTAATTCTTCATATTGGAAATTAAGCTATTGTTTCTGAAATAGGCCTGAGCCAAGCTTAAATTATAATTTCAGTCGAAAAAATCAATAGATGTCATTTCAGTCGTATATCTCCAGTGCTACCAATCACATTGTGTCATACCACATAGTGCTGGAAAGATTAAGCTTAACAAAAAAATTAAATTTGAGAAATTAGACAAAGTTACAGCTATTCAAATATGGGGGAAAATAATGAAGAAATTCGTTATTATTTGAAAATTTTTGTATAAAAAAAGGAAGAACCCCACACAAGCCACCAATGAAATTTGTCAAGTTTACGGAGACGATCCTGTATCAGTTCGATTAGCATAGCAATGATTCGCTCGCGAAAGTTGCATCTCGCTCCGGTCGACCTATCGTAGAAACACGCGATGAAATTATGGAAAAGATTAACCAGGTTTAATTTCAGTAGGAATACGAAAAGACTTTTTCATCTACCCAATATGTTTAGCGTTAAATTGCAAAACACTTTCATTTCCTACAGGGCACGCATACATTATTGTAATATAGTAGTTGTATTATCGACAGAGCGTAAATTAGTCGCTGTTGCAAGCCAAAGCTTTATCTACACCGCTCCAGTAGTTGAGTAAGCAAGCAAATGGGTTCGACTTGAAATTAGTATTGCGCGAAAAGACTCAGGCGTCGGTAATAAATTTGTGACGCGTGCGTTCCACAAAAAAAAACTAAAACCAAAAGTGAAGAAAAAATCTGTGAAATTTATTTCTAAAACAATTTTCAGTCAAAGCGGTTTAAAAAAATATATTTTCTTATTCGAAATCTTGAAATCAACTTGCTGACTCCTCAAGCTTCCGCAATGGAGAGCTATACAACGGGCAGCAGTGATAATAGTAGCGAGAAGACGTGCGGGAAAAATAGCGTCGTGTTTTACGCCAATTCAAATAGCATTAAAATCACAGACAATTCAAATCGGACGGTGGATAAAACCAAGAAAAGCAGCAGTCTACAAGTGGCTGGCAGCAGCAGGCCGCTGGGTAAATGCACGTCGGATTTGTTGATGCAACGGCTGCGACGCAAACGCTCCGTCGTGCGGCAACGACTGCAAATGGAGTTCAGTGAGTTAATGGAGGTATGGGAGCGAGTGTAAACGGGGTTGAGAGACAGCTAGCGTGTTGAGTTTTTAGTGGGTTAGTTGGTCAAATTGGACACGGCAAATTCACTTGATTTTTTTTTTTTTTTTTAATACTTCCTGCTCCAGCTGACCTTGTTGACGCACGGATTCATTAAATTTGGTTACATAATATAGTTGACTTTTGCTGTCTAACGAATTTTTGCAATGTCTATTTTTATTCGCAGCACTTTCAGCGCAATACTAAATTGGCCGAATCATCGAAGCGTTTGAAATCACAGATCTGGAGCTCGGTCGTCACGATATTGTTGGTCAAAGCCAAAGATCTGCCATTGGCCGACGATGGTAGCAAACTCACCGATATACATATTAAATTTAGGTGGGTACAATAAAGATCACCAAATGTTGCATTTAGTAACCAAAAAACTGAAACTTTTTTGATAACTTTTTCTTTTTCTCCCTCTTTTTCTCTCTCTCCTTTCATACGTCAGACTCGGCAATGAGAAGTACAAAAGTAAGTCTTCCTGGACCGAACGTTGGCTGGAACAATTCGATTTGCATCTCTTCGATGATGACCAAAATCTGGAAATCTCGCTTTGGAATCGCAATGCGCTCTACGGCAAAGCCAACATTGATTTGAGCGTGTTCCAACGTGAGACCACACATGGCATTTGGCGTGCCTTTGAAGACTGTTCCGGTGAAGTGTTTCTTATGTTGACCATAAGCGGCACTACCGCGCTAGAAACAATTACCGATCTCAAAGCGTACAAGGAGGATCCACGTGAGATGAAAATCATGCGCGATCGTTATCGTTGGCATCGTTGTTTTCAGAATTTACGCGATGTCGGACATCTGACAGTGAAAGTGTTCGGTGCGACGGGTTTGGCGGCAGCTGACATCGGCGGCAAGTCCGACCCATTTTGTGTGCTCGAGTTGGGTAATGCGCGCTTACAGACACAAACCGAATATAAGACGTTAACGCCGACGTGGAATAAAATTTTTACCTTGTGAGTATTAAAATATTTGAATAGGGGCTATGATTTATGAGTTTGATTAAGATAAAAAAAAACTTTGTTTGAAAGTTATGTATGGTTTCTTAGAATTTTATGGTAATGTTAAGTGTCACAAACCGAAAGTTTAGTGAATTTTCTATTAATTTGTGCTTCCAAAACTTATATTCTTCGAACTTATACAGTTAAATAGTGGCAAAAGCTCGGTATGGCTTACCGTAAACAATAGTTATTGTTATAATAAAGAAGCTCAGTTCTAAAACTTTTGATCCCAAAAAATTTTTCGATATTTTTTTGTCCACCAGCAATGTCAAGGACGTCACACAAGTACTCGAGATAACAGTCTACGACGAAGATCGCGATCATCGCGTCGAATTTTTGGGGAAGCTTGCAATTCCACTACTGCGCATCAAAAATGGTGTCAAACGCTGGTATACTCTAAAAGACAAAAATCTTTGCGCGCGGGCCAAAGGATTATCGCCACAGGTAAGTTTCGATTACCAACATTTTGGATTTTAGTGGACCTCGCAAACCTACTGACTTCCACAGAACTTTTCCTCAAGTATAACTGAATTATTTCTTTTCTTTCACACCACAGATCTGCCTTGAGATGACCGTACTTTGGAATGATGTGCGTGCCATTTGTCGTATATTACAGCCGAAAGAGGAGAAACTGATACAACAGGAAGCGAAATTCAAGCGCCAACTCTTTCTACGAAACGTCAACAGACTGAAAGTGATAATTATGTATATTTTGGATGCGGCGCGTTACGTACAGTAAGTAATAAACTGAAATTAAGAAGTTAAATACATCATGTGTTTTACGTATCGATTGCTTTTTCTTTCACTTTCCATTCGCAGAAGTTGCTTTGAATGGGAGTCACCGCTGCGCTCAGCCATCGCTTTTGCTCTGTGGATATTGGCCTGCGTCTATGGCAATTTGGCGACTGTGCCATTAGTCTTGCTGCTAATCATAATCAAGTGCGTTGCCGTTTTTTCAATATTTTATATAATTGCAAGTATTTACATTTCATTATTTATGCTCTTACAGAAACTGGTTGGTGCGCATGATTACCGGTACGAGTAATGATCCTGCCGCTGGCTACTATGATTACGACTACGATGAGGATGATGACGATGATAAGGAGAAGGAGGAGAAGAAATCGATTAAAGAGCGTCTACAAACCATACAGGAAGTCTCTCAAACGGTGCAAAACACGATTGGCTATCTGGCGTCGCTCGGCGAAAGCACTAAAAAGTAAGTGCAAATTACATGTGTACGTGTGCAGGTGTGAGTGGGGGGAAGTTAGATCGGCTTGGTGTTTAGGCAAGCTTTCGATTACTCATGAAGATAAGAATTGACACTAAAGAAAATACTCCTACATCCCATTCTATTCTTAAAGTTAGGGTCGTTGAAGACGAATTGCTCGCTTGAACAATTTTGGGTTTCTAACAAATATCGAACTTAAAGAATTAAAAATATTGATCTCTCGGTAAAAGGTTCGGTTCGCATTGCCAAAACTTTTGATACACGAACAAGATAAAGTTAGATTGGAAGATATGTATACTAACACTTTCAAGAGTTCTATATTTTATAAAAGGTCTCGGCAGTTTCCAGAATTATTCAAAATTTAAGTATTAAAGATAAAATTTTAATTTTATTTCTTTACAATATTTTTTAAAATAAACTGGCAACGTCATTAAGACTTATTGTTTTCTTAACTAGCTGTTTGTATCCTAATTTCTGCAAGAGTGAATATATTATATAGTATATATATACTAAATTTTCGGGTATACAATTGAAATACCCTATAGGATTGCACACCTGGCGGCATGATTAATAATTTATATATTTTTACTTAAATTAAAATTTATTTAGCAACTCCAAAAATAAAAAAACGTTTTTTCCAATTTTTCACAAAATAATTTTCATATTATATTACATTTTATAACAATTTGAATTTTAGAACAGGTGGCAACTCTGAAAATATTTTTACCCAAGGAATGTCTACATTTAAAGTTTTGGCAAATTCTATTTGTTTCAATAATTTTAAAGTTAAACGAGGTGGCAACTCTAAAATTTATTACTAAATGTATTTGCTCATCCAATGACCAAAATTCTTGTTTTTCATATTTTATATATTTTTTAATTAAATATTAAATAAGGTCTCGACAATTCCAACAATTTGAACTTTAAAACAGGTGGCAACTCTAAAAATATAAAAAAATGTGTTTGCTCATTCATTACCTACATTTAAAGTTTTGTTATATTTTATATGCCCCAACAACTTTAAAGTTAAACCAGGTGGCAACTCTAAAAATAACTACTAAAAATTTTGCGCACCCAACAATAAAAAATCAGGGTTTCTTATTTCATGTCTTATTGTTGAAATCACAATTAGGTGGCAACTGTAAAACTATAATATCTTTCCTTTATAGTTTCTCACAATAACATTTTTTAATTTGCTAACGCAGTATAAATGTGGATAGTTTTGCCATATTTTATATGCTCCAAAAATTCGAAATTTTAACCTGGTAGCAACTCTAAAAATTATTAACAAAATTATGTGTTCATCCAATATATAAAAATCCAAGTTTTCTTATTTAATCTTTTTTTTTTTATAATTTAAGTGGTATAGGAAATGTTACAAAATTTTTTCTCACCCAACATCTACCGTACAAAATATTTTGACTACGATTGAATTTTCTAAATTTTTTTACGTCTAGTACTTTTAATTTTTCCGTCCCGGAACTAACGTGGCTCGCAGTGGCGCTGCTAGTTGGCGGTATTGTGGTCTTGCACTTCATACCCATACGCTTTCTGCTACTCTTCTGGGGCATTATGAAGTTCTCGCGACGCATTCTACGCCCAAACACGATACCGAATAATGAGCTGTTGGACTTCCTATCACGTGTGCCAGACGATGAACAAATCGTGAGTATCTCAGCTTCAGTTTTATGTGGCTTTGAAGCTTTTTAATGCCAGACTTTTTTCGACTTTCGACTTTTCAGAATCAATTCCGTGAACTGCCACCCACAGCGCCCACCGATCAGTCGCGCAATAATCCCAAGAAAAAATTCAAAGCTTCATAGTCCATTGCCAATTTAGATGCCACTGGTGCGCTGCAACAATTCCAGAGCACGACCGTGTCGCAGCAAATTGGTTTCAATGATGCTGGCACCGACGGTGGCATGTTGCCGCAACATGTTGGCAGCGCAAGAACACGCTCCGTGCGCAACATATTCAAAGCAAGTCGTGACAACTTGAAGCAGCAACTGAATAAAGCTTACGGTAAAGGCGTAAAAAAATCAAATTAGCAAAAATTGTGTAAACTATAAGTGATCCACATACTTTAGCATATAATCTCAACAAAAAAACAACAACAAAATTAAATGATGACTTTACTAAACTAAACTTAATGATTGACTTAAATGTGAACTTTCGAAAACTTAAGCAATTTATTGAAAACACATCCAAAAAAAGGCACTTCCAAGTTCCAAAGCTTACACAATTAATGATAAATGATATTTAAACTTATGCAATTAACTGTTGATTACTGATGAAATTAACTGATAATTAATATTTTTACTTATAAATATACACTCAAACAATCATTCATATAAGTATTTACGGTATTTATTAAAAAGAGCAAACTACACTATTTACAAAAACCAAAAAAAAAAAAAAACCAATTCTTAGCACTTTACTAAAACTATTTCACTCGAAAATTGTATTAGTATAACTGTAAATACAAACATAGTTGCTTAAGTACTTATTAATTCCACTTAAGTCATACCTAAATGTTTTTCACAAAATAAATAATTAATTTTTTTAACAACATACATAGCATAATATTCGGATTGTCAAATTAAAATTTAATTAACTAATACCAAAAACAAAAAAATGCTAGCACATACCTAATTATATTGAAATTTATACTTAGCATAGATATTCAAATATTATTTAAGCGATTTGTTACAAGATTTGTGATATTTTCTAAGAGATAAATTTATTAGACTCATATTTAATAGGCACACGAATTTAGTTAACAAATTTCTTAAGCTTAATTGAAGCCAGTATTCCTGCTAATTGTCCCAGCAGTGTAAACACTTATTACTTAATATTATAGCAATGTACAGTTACATTAATTTTTCAGGTACACTTTTTATTAGCGAGTAAGAAAACATTTATTTTAACCGCACACGAAGCTTATGCACCATTAAACTATTAACATCAACAAAATTCTAAAAGAAAAATTTTATTTTATTTTACTGCAAAATAAAATTAGAACCCTAAGATTTGATTTTACTAAACGTTTATCAAAAAAAAAAAAAAAAAAAAAAAAAAAAAAACCCAAATCCAAAAATTGCAAAAATTTGAACTCTTTGGAGTAAATATCACAAACAAAATCCAATCCGGCCATGAAAAAATCGTTTAAGCTTTAAGCTTCTACATTATTACTACTTTGATTTGGAAAGGGAACAGAGCGGGAAACACTGTTGGTGTTGGTGTTTCTTAACTTTTTTCATTCAATCCGGTAGAAATAGCGATCGGTCAATGCGACTTCATCGAATTCGGGGAAAGAAGGTCGGCCAACATCATGTTCTAAGCGTTGTTTTTCGAAAGAAATAAGGCTCGATGCTGCTACTTTACCGCAATCCACACCAAACAGTTTATTTTGGGGATGTAATTGCGTTTCCTGAGCCAAACGAGGATTTGACTCACCCCAATGGCGGCAAATTTTTTTTTTGCTGACGAAGCCATTAGCCAGCGGAAAACGTGAACTGTAAGCAAACATTGCCGCCACCAATTGTCATAATCATGTCATGCCTATTGATAAACGCTGTACTTGATTAATACCCATTAAAGAAAACATAAATATGAAAACTTCTTCTGCTTTTTGATTCTAATAATACAACTTCGCAAGTATTAGGTCAATAACACTAATCACATGTCCGAAAAATTGACAATACCCGAATCCAAAAATAGTTTCAAAGATATTGGGAAAAATAAAAAAAGTTAAAAGCGTTTTTCTCAAAGCTTTGTTTTTGAAGTCGGTGAAAAAAATTCTTCCGAGACGCCTGAGCCCATCGACCTCAAATTTTCACTCTTAGATATATTTTTTGTCAGGTAATTATTGACAAATAAAGTTTTTGATAAAAATTTCGATTTTTTGATCAACTCCGAATGGTAATTTTTTCACAAAAAAAAAAAAACTACTTCTTTTTGGAAGTCGCAAATCGAAAAATTTTGCCATATCTCCGATCTTTAACTTTTTCTAAACCTTTTTAAATTTGAGATAATTTTAATCAGAATAATTTTTCGTCCCCGTCAGACCGGCTACAACACCAGAAGAATGCAAAATTAAAAAAAAAATTAATCAGCGATTATTAAAGTACATTAAATTCTATGTCTGTACTTTATTTTTATTTAGTTATATTCTATATTCATTGAGACAAAAGAAAAAAATTAAAAATTCATTGTGACAAAAAAATAATTGTAAATAAAATGAAAAATGTTTAATTATTCATCAATATTTACTTTGCCTTCAAAGTAGTCCCCACCACATGTAATGCATTTACCATCATATACTCATGTCTCATCGGTAGTTATTATATAATACTCTTCATGAATATGGGATCGAACTTCGCACGACTAAACATATCCAAAGAGACCTGTTTACGTTATTCTCCTTGGTACGAGTCGTTTTTTGTCAAAATGTATAATCAATAAAAAATAAATCAAAGCATTTTTTTTTCTTACTTGCAAGTGGATATAACTCCCTAATAAGAATCTCCATATATACAAGTACATATGTTATGCACTTCCTTCCTCCAGCCACTATTTAATAAACTAAATATTAATAACTCCATGTCCTTGTTTTACGTTACATTATAATATTTATTTTCATAATCGGACGACGACATTAGTATTAATTTTTATGTTTAAAATTTACTTGCATTTTATTGAGTTAGGTAGGCAAGATCAACACCAGCACACGAACGAAGAAAAGCTTCTCGCTATGCAATTATTTGTTGCTTACAAAACTTTTAAATTAAATTATATACACACTAAATGGCGTGATCGCTTATCAAATCAGTTTTGTTGTACGCAGCACTGACAGTAGGAATTTATGAAAAGCTTTCTATTTGAAAAAAGCTTTCGCATTTCTAAGCTTTTCGAAAAAAAACATTAAAAAATGTGAAGTTATTTTCACATCTCATTTTGAAAACTTAAAAAATATAAAATAAACTTTATGAAAGAGCTTCTTGAATTTAAAGTTTGGCATTATATTGAAATGTTTATTCCGAAAATTCTCACTTAGCATGAGATCTTGCGCTCTCTCGCTACGTTATGTATGTGGTATTAAGCAAAAATGTTTGATAAGTGAAATGTGGAGAAAAGTTGCTAAGTCTTTACTCTATCTGTGGATATTTTATGTATACTTTAGCAGTGTACAACACACCTAGTTTCAAACATACAGATTTATTTCATATATACAGGCAGTTGCGTAGACATGTGTAGTTGGCAAATGCTGGTCTATATAAATTTAAAAATCTTAATATCTGCAGTCCAACTGATAAGAGAGCCATGCCGATAAGCTGAGTTCTTGAAAATACCAACAATTCTAAGTCCCAACCCACGCATCGTAAGAGTTTCTTACGATATTCTTATATATGTACATTATATATCGTATGTACTAATATAAATTTTGAATTTAGAAAAATTTTTATTTTTTAATTTTTAATAAAAAAAATGCTCAACACTTAAATTTACATACAATTAGATGTACAAGTATATAAAATTTAATAGAAAAATATTTCAATAAATGCAATTCTGGTAAGAATTCAAAATGTCACAAGTAGAGTTAAGAATACTTGCAATTTAAAGCTAAACGCCTCCTTAGTTGTTGGCCTCATTCTTCATGAATTCATAGACAACCGAGAAATCCTTGTTGCCCAAGCCGTGAGCTTTCAGTGTACGGTATATCTGATGAGACAGAGCGCCCAAAGGAATGGGAGTGTTTGTCGCCGTGGCCACACCGCCAGCCAGACCCAAATCCTTAGTAATCAAATCGGTGGAAAAACCGCCAGCATAGTCTCTATTACTCGGTGCAGTGGGTGTCACGCCGGGCACTGGGTTGTACGACTCCGACGACCAGCAGCGGCCAGTTGATGAGTTAATGATTTCGGCAAATACATGTGGGTCCAAACCTTGGCGTATGGCCAAATTCATGGCCTCCGATGTGCCAATCATGGAAATGGCCAACATCATGTTGTTGCACAATTTCGCCGCCTGACCCATGCCATAGCTGCCACAGTATGTTATACGTTTGCCCATACCTTCCAGAATGGGTTTGACTGTGTTGTATTCATCTTTCGTACCGCCAACCATAAATGTCAGTGTGGCCTGCTCAGCGCCAGGTACACCACCCGATACGGGTGCGTCAATAAAGCGCGCACCCTTTTCGCTAATAAACTTCTGCAACTCTCTGACCAAATTGGGATCGATGGTGGATGAATCGATGAAGACAGTGTTCTTATTAACACCATCCGCAGTCATTTCGTTGTAAGCCTTCCACACAATATCATTATTGGGCAACATGGTGATCACATAGTCAGAGTTCTTCGCCAAATCGGTGGTCTTATCATAGACTGTGGCGCCCTTGGCTTTCAAATTGTCGCAAGCCTGCTTCGATATATCAAAGACATGTAATTTGTGACCCTGCTTGATCAGATTGCTAGCCATATGACCGCCCATATTGCCGAGTCCGATAAAGCCAACATTCTTGGAGGCAACGGCCTGTGATGACATGGCACGCACCAAAGTTTGGCTCATAGCCTTGGTCACGGGCATTGTGAAGACGATACGTAGTGCCATTTTCCCTACGGTTTAATTAACTATAATCGAGAAGCAATAACAATTGATCAACTGTGTGTTACGCAATTGCTACTTCAAATATTCCAAGCAGCCACATAAATAAAAACATATGCATATAGGTATGTAAATATGTATCACCAATGTGTAAATATTCTCCAAACACACACACGTATGTATTTATGTAGTGCTCACTATATTTCTACATACCAGCTGTACAAAAGTTCCACAAAAGCAATCCACGTCGGTCAACGCTGAGCAGCACACTGAACTATCTTCAGCTTTCGCATTGCTGCCTAACCTCCTAGAATGCTAGAAGAACTTATTTGTTTGGAAAACTAAAGCAGCATATACACACATTGTGACCATAAAGTACCCGGAAATTGTAAATAAAAGACAAAACATCTGATTATTCGTCAATATTTATTTTGCCGCCTTCAAAGTAATACCCACCCGATGTAATACCCTTATACTAACGATTTTTCCAATCCTCGAAACACTTTTCATAAGCACTTTTGAGGATGGACTTCAGTTCCTTCAGCGAATTTTCTTTTATATCTTCAAAAACGGGTTCCATGTAGCTGCAATTTCCATTTGAAGAACAAGAAAAAATCACACGGAGCAAAATCTGGTGAACAGGAAAGTCCTCCAAAATCAGGCATGTCCTCAACGATTTCCCGACCGTTTTTGATAAATTTATTTGCAATTTCCGGGTGATTTTTTGTCACAGTGTATGTATAAAAACATGTTTTGCACTGACGGATCGAAGAGCTTTGCTTATGGGGGACGAAATCTGGATCATGTGTGTTCAAAAAAAAAAAAAAAAAAAATATTTATAACTTTCATAGGGTTCAAGTAAAACCCTCTTTATCTGGGATTTTGAAAACTCGCTTTTGAGTAGAGCATGCCTTTAAACTTCATGTAATATTTTAGTGCATACAAAGGTCTTATAATATATTTTTCTGACTTGTCCAAACTTTAGCTCTAAAAACTCTCTTTAATTAAATTGGTTGAATCCATGAAGAATCAATAGTTTTCGAATGACCTTTAGCTGTTTCAGTTGTCTGACTTCTGTTCTTGCGTGAAATATTACCGAGGGCTTTCAAAAATAATAGTTGGGCATAAGACCTCTAAGACCACTTTCCTTGCCCAGTAAACTACCTCGTTGTCAATCAGAAATTTTTCCATCATTCCATAAGTATATACTAGTAAAAATATATATAATAGACATAAAGAAAGAAAAATGTCAGCAGCGCGTGTTCAAGTAACGCACACCTCTAGTTCACCACCTCTCCTTCAAAATAAATACGTATGTATAAGCTGATTTGTGTGGGGGCACGATTGGCAACGATATCGCAGACAAGATAACAAGAAACAAATTCTGTCACAATGAACATGCTGCTATACAATATCCATAT